GTACGACCGGTGGGTCTCACGTTGGGTCCACGAGGCGGGGACAAATGCACCACGTCCGTACTCGCCGCCGCCCATTTCATGAGTCGATGCAGCGGCGTGGAGTCTTTCGTGGTCATGCAGGGCGTTGTCACGGTATCTAGAACGAAGCCGAACGACACACTGCCCGATGGCCTCCAGTGGAGGTCACGGCATCCTCGAATGGCTCAGTAGCCGTCACACATGGGCCTGCATGGTGCCAGTCGCTGGATCGCCGGTGCATGTCCGGTCGAATCCGTCGGTCGGCTCGCCCCCATTCGTCCGCGTGTGAAACATGTCTAGGTGTCCCAGCGATAGTAGTCCATACTCTGTCGATGGAGTGGAGTGGCACGCCGGCAATCGACGCAGCGCATCGACGTCAAAGCAATGTTGCCCCTGCCGTGCTTCGTGATGCAGCCCACACGGCCGGCGTGTCGGCTGCCACACGACTGACGCTTGGTGCGCGTCCAACTTTTGGGTGCGACACACGAATCAGGGGTTTCGAGGTCGACAGGGGTCCCGAATGTACTGGTACTTGGCTTGGTGGCGGCGAAATGGCGACAGGGTCGTTGTCCTGCCTAGAGCTCTCGCCATCATCGATCGATGACGACGGAAGGAGCATGGCTCGACTCGTCTCTTTCCATTGCGCTGTGCCATCGTGCCGCACGTGGCGGTCGAGGACAAGCCCGCGTTGCGACGGACGACCACGATGCGGTTGTCTTCACCGTTCGAGGGCGACCATGTCCAACACGTCGCACTCCGACGCGGACGGCGCGGTAGACAGTTGGACGTCGACGTACGCCCACCCAGCCTGCAAACGTTGAACACGACGTTGGCAAGGCTCATGGAGACGGCCACTACACATCTCGCCGCGGGAGCCTCCCGCGATTTGCATCACTTGTCACGTGGTGTCGACGCTCGAACGGCGTGAAGTTGGCGGCAGCAGTTGCTCGAGTAGTAGAAATGATCGGGGTGGCCCCTCGGTCGCCCGTCTGTGTTCTGATCTGTTCGACACGATTTGGTGATATGTTGGTGGTCGGCCGGCGCGGCTGACTGCCCATTTTTCGACCTGTCTTCGTGGTCACAGCACCTGACCACGTTCGCCATGGGCTTGAGCGATTGCACGAACGATGCGAACTCGGACGACGCTCCATTCGAGTCGATCCTGGAAAAGGCGCTGGACGTGTCCGAGAAGCTGCGCGACGCGCTCACGTACAAGCACAGCGAAAGCGATGTTGCAACGTATTCGACCACCCTGAACGAAATGACGACTGCGCTCGGCCTTGCGGACTGGCACATCGATGCCAACAAGCTGAGCGACCCCATGGAGCTGGTCAAGCACTTGGCCAGCTTTGAGAAGCTCATGGCGAACGAGCTGTCGTCGAGTGCGACCCATGGCGATGCGCTCACACGCGAGCAGCTCATTGCCCAGGCAAGCGGTGGCGCCGCGCTCTATGGCGTCGGGCTGGGCATCGTTACGTCCGCCGACAGGACAGGCATTCTCCAGCGCCCGGAGAATCCACTGCTCGCACAGCCGACGTCGTGTGCGTTCATGGGACCAACTTCCGCGGTCACGACGTCCGTCGAGCAGTTTTCGACCGTCCAGGCCGCGACGGACTTTCGGCAAACGATGAAAACGTGCGGTCGGTCCATGGGTTTGGCCCTGAAGGCGTCGTACGCGGGCGTCGGCGGCGGCGTCGGCGGCGGCAAGGCGACAACAGACACCACCACCGCCACCACAGCCGACACGACGACGACGACGTCGGCCGCCCAAGTCACGTACGCCTACGTCCCGATGCAGTCGTTCCGCATGACCGTCCAGGACATGCAGCTGTCGGACGAGGCCAAGGCCGTGGCGGCCACGATCACAAACGAAATGGCGGCGACGTATTTCCTCCAGGACTTTGGGTCGCATGCTGTCTGCGGTGTCCATGAAGTGGGCGGCATCTTTTGCAAGACGGTAGAAATCACGACCAAGGACCGGACTGCCGTCGACGTCATGCAAGCGGAATGCGCCAAGCGGTCGTCGTCTCATTTGTCGGTGGGGTACAGCGTGATGGGGTTTGGCATGTCGGTGGCCGTCGATGGTGGCCGCTTCACCGCGGCGACGGACACGAGTGGCCATCACACGTCCGACATCGAGTGCGAGATCACGACCCGGCTCGACCACTTTGGCCCGGACGCGTCCAGCTTGGAAATCTTCAAGAAGAAGCTCGCCACGACCAACCATGCGTGGTACTTGATCGACCGACCCATGGCTACGTCGGTCGTCGGGGTTTGGGACTTGATGGCAAAGGTTGACGGGTGCCAGCAGCCGGCCGAGTTGGTGCGGCATGTGTGGCTCAAGCAAGCGCACAAGTTCCGCGACTTGCCCCTCGTTCACGCAGCCATGCAGCGCGCGCGCATTCAAACGTGGCTGTGTAGTCCCATGGTGGACTCGGTCCTCAAGCACGCCGTCGTGGACAACCCAGACCAAGCCGAATTGGCGGCGAGACGCCTCGTCGACGCCGCGTGCGCCCTTGACCTGTCCATCGCGCCGGCCGACGATGTCCGGAATGCCGTCGTCGAACTCTTCTCGGCCCTTGTGCGCTACGACAGCGAGTTCTCGTTGCACCTGACCGTGCAACACCTCCGGTCCGCGACCGTCCAAGGGTTTCTGCGGCGCCTGGCGGCAAGCGACCGGACGATGGCGGACTTGACGTGCCTCTGTCCGCTCTTCGACAACATCATTGACGACAAGATTTTGCACGCCACCCCCGCGTTCGAGTTGGAGCCGTCCTTCCGCGCTGCGCTCGAGCGTGCGCGCGTCCTAGTCGACGCGACGACGCACGACGACGTGTGGGTGCCTCCGATCGTGTCGGACGTCGGCCAAGTTCCCGACGCGCTCGAAAACCTCGTCATGCCGTTCCTCGACCAGGCGCAGCCCGACATGCAGCTCCTCGCGTCGCGAGTTGGCGCGTTCCTCGTGCGAAACGTAAACACCGCGGCAAGTCCATCGACAGCCCACGACGACCTGTGGGAGGTCGCCAAGCGGTACGGGTTCGAGGCGGACGGCGGGTTCATGGGCGCCGTCAACGCAGAGAACATCACGTACTTGATTCACGCGCTGCGCTACGCGTTGACCGAGCATGCGGCGGAGCCCGCCGACGATGACGACGACGGCATGGCGCCATCGTCCGTGTTTGAACCGCCCGCAGCGTCGTCGTCTGGGATGACTCCCGACGTGCCCGACGGACGCTCGTACAAGCATTTGCTCACTGTCGCTGGACGGCCGGACCGCGCGACTTGCATCACGGACTTGCTGTGGTACACGATCAAGCACCGATTGGACTTTGAAGAGGAGCTGTACCCGCCCCGGTCGGCTGCGTCCGGCAAGAAGAAGCCGTTGAAGAAGGGCGAGGTGCGGGTGCCCGCGGCCGCGCCTGCAGAGAGCCCCGTCATTTTGGATGCGCTGCTCGAGCTCGCGCAATCGCTGAGCGTGACCGCTCGGGCCGAGGTGTTTCGCCTCTTGCTCGAGCGCCGCGTGCTCGTCCCGTTCCTGGTGGCCGATCGTTGTTGGTTGCCTTGGACATGACGTGGGTGGGCAACTCCACGATGAACAGAGCCAACGACTCCTTCAGCCGCACGTGACCAACATGACGCCGCGGCGCCACCGATACCGCACGACAAAGCCGTCGCTGTCTTCCCCGATCGAAACTGGCGCGGATATGCGGTGACTAGAACGCTCGTCGAGTTTAGCACGCCATTTGGGCAGCAGTTATTAGCGACTTGTTCGTCGCTGCCGTTGACGGCGCATGCTTCCGACTTGCTCATGCAGGAGACAGCTACGGCCATGCACACTCGTTTGCATGGAGGGCATGCGGCGCCAACGAAGCTATGCCCGTGAAAGGCGACGCCACACCAGAGAGAGATCTCTTGCTGTGATGACGCGTCAACGCGTTTGAGCTGTGAATCGGGTGGCTGATATCGTGTGGATCGGTCGGCCAATGCTCGAGCTTTGAATCGTGGCTGCCATGCGTTTGTTTACTCAGCACGGGCGCCCGGGCTTGGAGCAGTCGGCGTCGGAGCTGCTCGCTTTTGCTTCATCCGACGCCATAGTTGGACATGTGGTCTGAGGCTTCCATCCGTTCTGGCGGCGGACGACGTGCTCATCTTTGTCCTCAACGACATTGGGATTGTGTGGACGTCCAAGTATTCGCTCTAGTGCAACGTGTTGGCTAGAAGTGACATCCGCAACGGTGAAAAAATTTGCGCTTCCCATGGAGCACGCAATCGTTGCAACCAGGTCGGGCGCGGTTATCGCATTCGACATGGATGTGAAGTTTCAGGCAGGGGAGTGTGCATGCTATTCTCGGGGCGCCACTTGGTCGTGATGGCGGCGATGTACGCACGGCCGTGATCGACCCAGCGCGCTGTATCCGGTGTCGTTGCTTCGAGTCGTCGCGTGCTGCTGGTTTGAATGATGGCGCGCCAGACTTGCCACCAACGTGGCTGGGCAGCAGTGCCAAGTACCTTTATCAAGTGGACATGAGGCGCGGTACGCCGCCGAGACCGTTCTGTTGGTGGACATGTTAGCGATGTTGGAGGCACTGGGGCCGTCTCGAGGAGGCGGTGGCAGCGCTGAATGGTATGAGGTGGTTGTCGAATTGGGTCCCATGCACGTTGACGTGCTCGGCATCGAGTCGTGGTGGTGGGTTAGCTTACCCGTGTCCATGCACCGGCAGTTGCCTCGTGATAATGACGCCACCCGCCGCCTCGATCGAGCATCGCCGCTGGTGGAGAAGGCGGGTTCGTAAGTTTGCGTTACGGTGTCGTATATCCGCAGCTAAGAGTCCAGAAACGGTACCATGTTTTCGTCGACATGATCGAGCGCTTCGTGCAGCTCCGTATTGAGCCAAATGTTCAAACACGTCATGTTGGAGAACGCTCTCCATGCACCCGGCATCGAACCCAGCGCCAATTCATGGCGAGAAGTTGGCGAGATGTAGCGGCATGGATCTGCTGGCTTCCCATTGCGCAGGTGTCGAAAAATCTCTCAAATTCCAGGACGCAACGCCAATGCCCTTGTTTGGACAGTCACCTCTGTCGACGCTGAAGCAAGTGCCCGAATTGCGCGAGGTTGCCATTCTTCTGCTCTTTCGTCTTCCTCGATACGTTCAGCAAGGGCATGCTTGCTACTGCAGAACAGCATGGTGCGCCCAGTACTCCACGGAGCGATGATACGCTTCCTTGTCGACGGGGACACCCGACCCGCCTTCTTCTTTGCCAAGACCGTTGCGTAAGATTGTGATTGGGTCCATGGGCAATTCGTAGTCAACGTCTTGTGCCTTGACGTAAATGATTCCCCATGGCGCCGTCTCGTTGTATTCCGCGGGTTTTCCCGTGGCAGCATTCTCCAGTTGGATCTGAGTGCGACTGTACAGAATCACGTCGAGGTAGGCGGCAACTTGGGGTTGAACCTTTTCGACGGGAAAATACCGAACCAACCTGCGTCGGCACATGACTCCCATCGTGTCGCAAGATAGGCACGTACACTGGGAGCTCGGTCGGGGTGCGCGCGACGTACTCGGTGATCAAGTGCTTACGATTCGAGTTCGTGATCGCCGCCGTGCTCAATTTCGCGCCAACAAAGTTCGGTATGAACAAATGCTTGCAAAACGGGGCGTATCTACTCGCACCACGGAGAAATGAAGGTGCATCAGGATGCGCCGTACCCGTCGACAAGGTGGAATTTGTCGGCGTGGTACATGCGGTTGACGGCAGCTTCAAAGTCGGCCTTGTCCCAGACGAGACGTGTCCCTTGGTGAGAAGGTTCATCGAACTGGTCCAAGCAGAACGACTCTACAAGCGATCGGAGCCAAGTTATCGTCACTCGTCACACGAGTGTCGTCATGTACCGAGCGCAAACGTCTTCTTGGCCATGCCGCGTTTTCAACATTGCCATGTCAGATATACTGCATCGGGATTGGCTAGTATTCATTTCTTTTTTACCAATCACGATACGTTTCTTTTCCATTTTTCCAGAGCAGATAATTCGCACGATGAGGATATTGTAATAAATACCCGAACAACGCGTACCACACAAGACATCCACGTTTCGTCAAGGGGGCTCCGATTAACATTCAAGCAAGATACGTTCCGCAGGCTGCTTAAGAGTTCTCGATCGTGCGGTGGCGTTCAACGTCGGGAGCAAGTGCATTTTGAGAAAATGTAGCCAGCACCAATATTTTGGCACCCTCCAATCAAGTCGCCGCTTTCACACTTTGAGATAATTTATTGGCTACATGAAAATATTTATAGCCAATGGTTGAGCAAGTGCAAAGGCCAGGATTTTCACCAGTGAAGCGACTGAGAGAGCGTCATGATGCTTCAGCGAAGGCTCACACAAGCGATAGCGCGTCGCGCGCTTCTTCGGAGGCCGTCACAAGTGACGTCCGCAAGGAGAACACCGATAGCCCCTGCTGGCTTACCAAGGTCGTCGTTCCGAACCTTTTCGTCAACTCCCGAGCCGACAGCTCGCCCGAAAACGACCTTTATCCAGACCTTGTTGGAGGCGTTTGACGACAAGGAGCGACTGATGCAGTGGGACGAAGACGGCCTCTTTGACCCCGACATGCCACAATCCAAGAAAGTCATGATGTTTCTCTTCTTCCATCGGTACTTTGACCCGCCTCCGTTCGACCTGCGAGACTTCCTCGACGGCGCGCAGGTTGCCTTGGACCTGGTGTTCCACACCATGTACTCTCCCGATTTCATGATCGCCGCGACAAATACCGACGAAGACAGAACGTTCAAAACAGAGAAGCTCTTGGAGTCCATCATGACTCGGTCGTGTGTGGATGCAATCAAGAAAGAGTTCAAAGCATACCATGACGATGGGTACACGGATGTCGAGTTGACCAAGTTCGACATTCACGAGTGCTCGCTTCACGACGTGACCATCTCCAAGGACCACAAGTTGTTGTACGTGGACGTGCTGTATCGCACGACGGAGCACCTGGCGATGGCCAAAACAAATGCTGTCACAACAACTGAAGTCAGGACTTCGCACTGCCAACTGCGCTTCCAGACTGCCATGGACAATCTCGACAATCCCGACTGGACCATAGCACGAGTATTTGACCACTAAACAGTCTTCTTCCTAACCCAGAAGCGGTCGACAGGTTCATGCCTCAGTGTGTCTTCTCGCCTCTATATCGGACTTTTGGTTCGGGAGTGGACGGCGGAAGGACGCGTCATCGTCACGGTGCCCTGGATCGGTCGTCCATGGTGCTGTGCCTTCTTTTCCAAAAATCGTTCAGTCGTGATATTCGAAACGTCCAAACTTCGCCAAAAATGACTCAATGTTTTTGAATTATATCAAAATGTTGCGAATTTCCCAACGCTGAATGGAAGTATCCAAAGCGTTGCAAAAATTAATCAAAATTTTGCGAATTTGTACATGGAATTTTCATATCACGTTGCTGAATTTCATTCAACTTTACTTTTTCAAACCTTCGCACGCGTTTCTGTATTTTGAAGGGATTTTCGAGCCATTTCGCCGAAATTTGAAACTATTTTTCCGTTTTCGTACTTCGCCATTTGATGCAACATTTGACGAAGCAAAAAGAATCACGCCGCAGGGTGCAAGATGGACGCTGCCGCGTTCCAGCAACAGATGCATGAGCAACAGAGAAGGCGGCAGGTTGCGACGGCCACTAGCCAGTTGTGTGGAGGAACGTTTTCTCCTCCCAACATGGCTATGTTTGCCCAGACGACGCCATCCATACCGGTGCAACACCAGCCTCCCCATATCCAGTTCCATCACCCCTTACACATTCAACCGCCGCCGCAGATCATGTACTCCGATGACTCATTCCCTGCATCTCATATGCCAATGGTTGTCGCTCCTGACGGATCCCAAGGGTACTTTGCCCAACCGCCCTCGGCACAGGCCGCGTACGAATCGTCCGAACCGAATGCAGCACCAAGCAAACGCCTGACTAGTCGGTGGAAATCTGCATCGTCCACGCAGCCCCACTACCCCAAGAGCAAGTTTCCAGCCCATCCTTCTGCAGACTCAGCAAACATGACGGCGGACACGTTCGCGGATGGTACACAAGGTCTTGTCCTGGACAAAGCCGTCCTGTCAAAGCTCCTCGCTCGGGACGAAAGCGAGATAAGCGACGACCAGATCCGCAGCATCATGCAAAACAAAGAGCTCCTGACAATTTACAAAAAACTACAGGAAGAAGAGGCGAAGCGCCAGAAGCGCCTCGACAACAACCGCAAGACGGCGCAATTGCGACGCAAGAAGAAGAAAGGCCTCGTTGAGACGTACGAGTCTCAGGTTTCCGAACTTGAGAACATTCTTGCCAAGATTCACGCCCATCGCTTTGGCCAGGGCGACGTCCAGACGCTGGTGGATGCCCTGGGAGGTAAGCCATCGCGTAGTCACCTTTACGTGATGCAATGCGACCAGGTGACCAACGGCAGAGCGTCAACATGACCAAGGACACAAAACACCAACAGACGTCCGTGCTATTGAAGCAGCATTCGCGGAATGCTTCCGCGGTTTGCAGTGACGTGGGGAAGCGTGTATGACAAGTGTGTTGTAGATTCGCCATGCCAATGATGAGAGCTGGATGCTGGCGTTGGCAGCGGCAAATGACCCTACGTTCGCACACTTGAAGCAAGAGCTTGGACTCACCGAGGCCCAGTGCGCGCGACTCGCACAAATGCAAACCTTGATCCACAACGAGTCGACGCGTCTCGCGATCGTTGAGAAATGCTTTGCGGCGCTGCACGTGCATGAATGGCTGCATTTTCCCAATACAGAGGTATGATGCGCAGTACTTGCCCACCATGACCCACTACATTTCAGAATTTGGTCGACTTGTTCCGCGCGCCACTCAGCGATGCTCAGCTTCAGAAGTTCGTGCAGTGGACACGCGTGAATCAAGGTGTCATACAGCATCTTCAGGTATGCCTGCTACGTTTGGAGCTGCCTATTCATGTGCTTCCTGTGTCCAGTTTGCGGCGGCGCCCACGGTCGGCGGCGGCAATGAGAAGGATCTTGTGTTCGAGTTTCCTACAGAATTGTAACCGGATGGTATCTCTATATCCTGAAGTAACTATTTCAAATGAATAATTATTCTGTATTGCATCTATTACTATATAGAGCACTAACCGAGCATTAAATTAGGCAATTGGAATAATTTAGGTAGTTCGTGACTTTGAAGTGCCGAATCAAAGAGGAACGCGCTAGCCATGCATGGTAATTGCCATCCGCGCCACCATGTCATCAAAACTTCACAAGAAATGCCGCCGAGGAAGCTTTATCGTACTACATGCACAGGGAATAGAGGGAAAGCTTTAGTTGAAGTAAGTTGCCCAGGGCGAGAAACCATACTATTTATATACCTACCTAGTAATTGCTAAATTAGGTATTGCGTGATTGAGGTGTCCCGTAAGAAAGGACGCTCGTCGTCCGGATGATTTCGTGTCATATATCCGGATATTCCCACCTTTCCCACAGCGACATAATTCCAGTCGTCACGCCGCCGCCGAGGACGACACCGTGATGGATCCGTACGCGTACCAGCAGCAAGTGCTGGTGCAACAGGAAGAGAAGCGGAATCAGCATCGGCAACAACAGCCGCAAGGTGCGATGGGCAACATGTACATGCAGCAGCCGATGCATCACCCACAGCAGCATATGAACTACCCGATGCAGCAGCAACAACCCATGATGATGTACCCCAATGACGTGTCGTTGGGGGCCTACGATGCGTCAGGCTCGCATCTCGCGATGCCGGCCGACTATGGCTACTACGACGCCCAAGCTCAACCGACGTCCCACCGGGCTTACCATCCTGTCGCGGCATCGTCAGGAGAGCCACAGAGCGGGAAACGCCACGCGCCCCGTAATGCATTTCCCGACTATAAGACTCCCCCGCAGTTTTTGTACGTGAAGGACAAGACTAATGGAACGACGTCTGTCGCGAGCACGGAGACGCAGATGCGGAACCTACGTGTCGGCGAAGACACAGATTCGGTCAAGTCGGAGCCTTCGTCGCAACAACATGCACAGGCATTGCCTGGCCAGATCGACCTTGACATGAACGTGTTGTCCAAGTTGCTGGGGAAGGACCCGTCGCAGATCACGACCGACCAGATCCGTAGCATCTTGTCCAACCCGGACCTGCTCAACATCTACAAGAAGCTCCTCGAAGAGGACCAGCGCAAGCAGAAGCGGCTGGCGCGTAACCGAGACTTGGCCGGCCAGCGGCGAAAACGCAGCAAGGAGCTCGTTGAGACGTACGAGGCGGAGGTGAAGGAGCTACAGAACATCCTGGCCAAGTCCCTCGCCCACGAGTTCGGGCAAGGCGACATCCAGACCCTCTTGGAAGCTCTCGGCGGTATGCACCATCACACGATGCCGTTTCCGTGCCTGCTACGATACACTAGGGGAACACAAGCAGAGCATTACGCTGACGAAAGACGCCAAGCATCAGGAAACAGCGTCGCTCTTGACGCAGCTCCTGCGCCATGCCGTCGTCGTACGTGCTTGCGATTTTTGTAGCTTGGAAAAATGCTCGTTCCGTTTGGTTTGCCCAAAACATGGTCGATTGAGTTGGACGTCGGCTGTAGATCAAAGAAGCCAACGAAGACAGCTGGATGCTGGTCCTGGCTGCTTCGGACGACCCCGAGTTCGTCGACCTCAAGCTGGAACTCGGACTCACGGATGCGCAGTGCCAGCAGCTGCTGCAGCTCGAGCCGGCGATCCATGTGGAAGCGACATGCCTGGCCATCGTGGAAAAGTGTGTCGCGGGGTTGAACGTGCAAGAGTGGCTCCACTTTCCAAATACCGAGGTGCCCCGCCGTGCCCCTACACACTACATTTTCATGCGCGCGCTCTGTCTGTGCAGAACTTGTTGGATTTGTTTCGCGGGCCCTTGAACGATGCGCAGCTTCAAAAGTTTGTTCAGTGGACGCGTGCCAACCAGCGAGTGATCCAGTTGCTGCAGGTACTGGCTCGACGATGGCGGTTTGCATCCCTGACGGACGCTCTAGTTTGCCATGGCGAGCGATGCCGACAAGGACGTGATGTTTGAGTTTCCCGCCGATCTGTAAAGGGACTTTTTGTGGATACGCATATCGTTCGTGCAGAGTGACCCTCGGCCCCACGTCAATGAAACGCGGACGGGATCGCGGTGTGCTGCTTGTTCAGCTCGGTCATGTCGTCAAACGCGGGGTGGTTCGAGTCGGGCACCCACTGAAACACTAGGCTTTCGACCGTGGTCAAAAACACACCCGATTGCTTCAAGCGCTAACGTCCACACGCTCAGGCAACCGACTCGGACAGCAAAAAGCACAAACCTCCAAGGCCGTCGCGCGCAGGAACGCCGTGCTGCTGCTCACTGCATCGACGGCGACATGGACTTGGTAGCCGTCTTCCACGAGGTCGAGGCACGTCTGGAGCACACACACGTGGGCTTCCACGCCGCACAACACAATCGACTTGGGATGGCGCGCGTCGATGGCGCGGCGGACGTCCGCCGACAGCATCGAAAACACAGTCTTGTCATGGCAACTGCACCCGTCGTCCAAATGAAGCTCCGGCGGGGTCCTGGCGTCCGAGTTGGCGGCGTCGTGCGTCGTGCAAATGACTGGAATGCAAAGCCTCTTGGCGGCCTGCACCTGGAAGCACAAGTCAGGTCAGGCCGCCGATGACCACTCACGTACGAGCGAGTTGGACGCGTGGAGAACGGACGAGATCTCGTAGATTCTAGTGCGGTAGTGTTCTTGGAGGTCGCAAACAAGCATGACGGTCGAGTCCGGAGCGAGCTTCCCCACCCGAGGACGAAATCCTTGGTGCGCCGGGGACGACGCAGATGCCCCCATCGTTCGAAGATGGCGACGTGCTGAGTTCGTTGAGAGCGACGTTTGAGACATGAGCGGTCGCCAACGGCCAAGAAAATGCGTCATGACGAGTTGCTTGCTGCGTTTGCGAGAAATTTGGTTGCATCGACAGCAACGAGTGCGTTGGAAAAAAGGTAGCAACATGCCAGCATACTCACCACGACTGCAAAAGCGGACATCAAGCTGAACGGGTCAATGCCCGATGGAGCACGCATGCATTAACCAAACGGGTTCGGTAGTCTACAGTGTGACGGATGCATCTTGAAAGTACGGGGGCGGTCAATGGAATGCCGTCGGACACGCGCTGTGCTGCTTGATGAGGCTCGAAATCGCGCGGAAGTCGGGGTGCTTGGAGTCCCCAACGAGCTGAAACACAATACTTTCCACGCTCGTCAAGTACACTCCAGACTGCTGGAGGCGCTAGAATATACCAGTCAAGGCAAACCTTAGTCGTGGTCAAGGGTACCGTCAACGCTGTTGACCGAAGCAAGGCAGTGCTACTGCTGACAGCATCCACGGGCACGTGCACGTCGTAGCCCTGTTCGACGAGGTCCAAGCACGTCTGCAACACACACACGTGCGCTTCGATCCCACACAGAATGACCGACTTGGGCTTTACAGCGTCCACTTCCCCACGCACGTCATCCGTGAGCATCGAGAAGAGCGTCTTGTCAAAGGTCTTGGCATCAGGACCGAGCTGAATCTCCGGCACAGTCTCCCCAAAGCGAGCAGCGTACTGAGTCGTGGCAATTGTCGGAATATGCAACGTCTTGGCCGCTTGCACCTACCGACTGTCACATCAGATCGATCCACCTTGTCGACGGTGTTGGCACATCGCATGTTTCGCGACCAGGGTGTTGGAAGCATGGATGACAGAGGGCATCTCATAGATGCGGTTGCGGAAGATCTCTTGGATGTCGCATACGAGAAGAAGGCTCGACGCGGGCGACACCTTGCCCACGCGCGCCGCGACGGATTTGGCCAGCATGTCCGTCACCGCTCGAAAAATGATCGAATGCAATTACATCTCGATGTCTTGGTCGTTTTCGTGGATATTTTTATTGATTTGTACTTTATATATTATCAAAAACGCATTTTTCAAACCTTTCAAGAGGTAATAAAATGTGTATTTCTGAAAATCGCAACAGGTCTACACTTTAGAAACGACAAAATAATATATAAATACGAGAATATTCTATGCACCCATATTGTATGAAATCCACATTTTGAAAATATCGGAGGATACACAATGTGTTTGTATCCGGAATGTATCCGGATGCCCCACCTCAGCTTGGTGCTTCGGCGGTGGTGACAAAGCATCAGGAATCGTCGCCATGCGCTTGTGGAGCGTTCTCTCCGGCGGTGGCGGCGGGTACTTCTCCGTGTACATGGTCCTTGGCATAGCGTTAATTGCCAAAGCACTCCAAGAATCATGGCTTGCCGCGTTCCGACAGCATGAAGCTCTCGTGGCCGCAGGGAAGTCGCGGCGGTTGGCCAAACTTCGCTTTGGGTTCTGGTCGCTCATGTGGAATCATGTCAGTGCACGATGGCTGTATTGGGTACCAGGGCTTGCACTGCTTCTTATATGGCTGTGGACTCGTCATGGGCCCACATTTTGGTCCGACACCACGGACGACGTCGTGGACGTCACGGACATGCCACCGTTAGAGCCCATCGATCTCGACCTGCCTCGATCTTCAAATCACGCGAAACCATCGCCGGTTCCGTCGCCCAAGCCAAAGAAAGCCCCATCTGTGCAGTCGAGTCGGCCTCACACCACAAAACATCGCTCCAGTGAGCAGGTCCACGACGAAGCGTCCGTCCGGCGAAGAAAGAAGCGATTCGAAGCATTGCTGGCACACAAAGCAGAGTTCGAAACGCAGCCGCGACCACCCAAGCCGCAAGGCTGGCTTGTGTACGACCCGGTGCTGGGCAAGCTCGTCGTCGCCGCGACAGGCCAGCCAGCCCCCGACAAGTAACCATGCAACAAGCACTTGTTCCTATTCTTCGAACTCCTCCATGGGTTCTTGAAAAGCATCGCTGACCACGTACTCTACATCTGCATTGACCCTTATGCCAACAGAACTCGGTACATTGCCACGACAAGGAGCAGCAGCACGGCTGCAATAAAGGCTACAATCATCCACGCCAGCACGCGGACCACATACTGATCTGCCGGTGAATGCGTGGCTGTGGAAGTTGCATCGGGCCGTCGGCGTCTCCACTGCTTGGATAGCGCGCGCGTTCGCATCAACATCTTGGGGCTCTAGCCATCCATGGTGCAATAGCACTATCTCAGACATGGGGGTACCGTTCGAATAGCTTGGTGGAGGCGTTGGCGATGGTGTCTTCGCCGTAAAGTTGGATGTGTTTGGTCCGAGTGCCAAGGTTCGATGTCGTCTGCGACAACATTGCAACCATCCGACTCTCCATCGGCGTCGTCGAACGATTCAAATGCGCGAGCTAGCACTGCGTCGCCCTGTTCGTCGACTTCCACGGCGAGTGGAAGCTCCAAGACTTCCTCTACCTCAACAATCGGCTCTCGCACCCCCAGTTTGCGAAGCATGCTCTCTTCCAGCGCAGCTTTGCGGCGGTCGCTCCGCCGCTTCCCCATGGGACCTTGACCGTTCTTGAGACCGTTGCCGCCGTTGCTCGTGTTCGGTGACGCCTTGCTGAGACACGACACAACGTCTGTGACAGGCTTTAAAACTCCGCAATACGTACTTTTCGGCAGGAATATCATCCGCGCCGGCATCGCTGGACGGTCGGTCCGCGTCCAAGGCATGGCAGAGATGCGTCGCGACTTCGAAGAGAAAGATAGATGTCTCTGCGGACGTTGCGATGCCGACTCCATGACACACCCAGTTGTGCACGTCGTCAATCATTCCTTGACCCTACAGAAACGTCACATATCTTAATTGATCAACATGGCAAGCGCAGGATGGAACATCACGCCACCTCTGGCGTTGCCAGCATTTGGATGCAGCTCTTGACGGTGGCCGTGAACTGAGACGACGCTTCCTTCGCTTCGGGTGTGCCAAGCGCTTGCGCTGCCTGCGAGCGGTAAGTGTGAGCAACAAGACGCCTTCACGGAAAGAACGTTGCAGTTGCACCTTGATGACGGTAGCAACCGAGTCCTGCACGACGGTGTGACCTTGCGGGGTCGAAAGAACATTGTACACATGGGATTGAAGGCGCTGGATAGGACATGGAGGTGGTAAACACTGATAAAGACTGGATGGACGAAGGCCGTGTGTTTACCTTGGCAGTATCGGACCACGCCGACGACGATTCCGTCGAGAAGACAGGGAGCGACTTCACGATGGCAACAGACAGGAACCGCGAGATGTCTCGCGCCCGTTGCGGAGCAAAACTCTTCAGCGAGTCCCAAATGCGTTCACTCCACACGTACGGGTTGACGACAGAGGTCGAGATCAGGTCAGCACCTGTACCTCACCACGCACACTTTTCATGAGATCCACGTACACGTGAGGGGTGGTACGAACACGGAGTTAGGACCGTTGCATCCACTGCCTGACCAGCGAGTTGCATGAGTGCGTATGAAAGTAGGCCGAGGTTTGCAAGCAGTCCCCGCGGCGACGCGGGCGGCGGCGACGGCACCATTGGCTTCACTTGAAGTTTCGTCAACTTGCGAAGGAGGCATCGATGGCAAATTAACTGCTTTGAATGCCTACTGAATGCAAGTATAAACTTGTCCGCGCCGATTCATTAAACTCGAAATATTTGTAAATAGAGTGAGTAGTAGCAGAAAGGTTAAGTAATTTAAAGCAGAAACTTGTGAAAAATATGTGAAAGTTGGCGAAAAGTAGGCGAAAAGACGATGCTTCATTGGCTGGAATGGCCCAATGGAATTGCAGACACCCCCACCACATACAACTTGATGATGGATGACGGCGGCGGCCGTGCTGGGATCCCCGCGGTGCTGCGCCGAAGCTCGAGCTCGGCGTCGACGTCATGGAATGATTCCACGATCCACAGCAGCATCAGTGTCAAGTACGACGTCAATGCGAGCGCTCTTTCCGTGGATGCAACGGGATCAGTCGGTGTACTTGGGGCACGGAAAGGGCTGTACGTCATCGATCTCGAGTCGCCGTATCAACCCGCACGAACCCTCCATCATCAGGTGCGTTGCCTTCATCGCGCGGGCCCACTCTTGCTACATTTGTTCACCTGTGGACGCTCCCCTCGTCGTAGACGAAATGGGACGTCACGGTCGTGAAATGCAACCCGCACGTCTTGTACAAGGGTGTCGTCGCGTCAACGTCGAACCACAACACGCTGCTGTGGAACATGGACTACAACACATCGACGCACATTGGAGGCATGTTGTCCTCGCATCAGCCGCTCATGTCGACGCTGCGGGCCCACACCCGGCCGGTGAGCGACGTTGCTTGGAGTCCATCCGAGCCGACCGTCCTCGCGTCGTCGTCGGCTGACACAACGACCCATTTGTGGGACATTCGAACGCCGCAAAAGCCCGCGCAATCCCTTTTCGCGTTCACGACAAGCGCGACACAAGTCGAATGGAATCGCTTGGACGCGTACTCGCTCGCCACGGCGCATGCGGGCGAGGTTCGTCCCTCTTCGATCGCCATGTTCTCACGCCATGGCAGGTTCGCCTGTGGGATACTCGAGCATGCGACAAACCGACAGTCACGATCACAGCGCACATGCAAAAGATCCATGGCATCGACTGGAGCCCCACCAACATGTACGAGCTCGTCACGTGCTCGGAAGACAAGACGGTCAAGTTTTGGAACGTGATGCGACCGCGCGTGTGCCAAGGTATTTGACTGGTCTTCTTCGTGGTTTCCCCATCCTCATCATGGTACAGGCACAATCACGACGGGTGCTCCAGTCTGGCGGGCGCGATACACACCGTTTGGAGACGGTTTGATCACGTCGTTTCACCGACAGGACTACTTCCTTCGCCTCTGGAGCCTCGCGCGCGACTCCAACAACAGCACTAACGCAGTCGAACCCAAGCCTGTACGCGTCGCCGCCATCTCTCTAGCAAGTCGAACTGACCGGGCGTTGTGTAGGTGTTTGACTTTTTTGGCCACAAAGACTTGGTCCGAGGGTTTGCGTGGCGGCAGCAGCCGGGCGGCGGGGTCTTTCAGCTCATCTCGTGGGGCAAGCAGCAGGAGTTGCGCATGTGGAAGATCGACCCTGTGTTGCTGGAAGCGTGCGGGTATGTCCGACACCAAGTGCACCACCAGTACCTTCACCAGCACCACAACTCGTCGATCGATTTGAGCACTCTTGACGAGATTGCTGTCTCGCCTTACGAAGCGCCGCCCCCACAGCCGTCCGCCTCCATGAACGGGACCCACGGCCCTCGGCCGGGTAGCCACGTCAACCTGTCCGCGTACAAGTTTGACTTGGGATGTTTGAAGGCCGATTTTATTCCACTGCCGTTGCCGCCGCCGCCGGTCTCGTCAAATGGCGCATACGAGATGACCCATGCAACTGCTTCTGCAACGATGCCAGTCCCCGCCACGCAGCAGCTTGTTCACCGCCATGACGTCATGATGGACGTTGAGGAGTGGCACCCGGGGGACGCGCTCACGTCGAGCAAGGCCGTTCTCGCCACGAACGGCACGCATGGGCTGAATGCCGACGACGACCCATTCAGCTCGATCGGCCGGCTATCGACACCCACAAACAATGCCACAGTTCGCGAACCCATTCGGCGTGTGTCGGGCGGGTGCTTCAGCGGGCCCAATTGCCTCGTGTACTTTGATTCACGCGTTGCGATCGGCCAGTCCAAAGTCCTCCACACGTCGTCGCGCCACCTTCCGCTGCCGTCCACCACGAATTCGACCAACTCGATTCTGCCACAAACTACCACGCCGTCCATCCTCTCGCGGCAATTTCTAACCGCAACGTCTCCGTCGTTTCTGTGGACGTCCGCGCAGCCGCCGCCGACGTTCGCTATGACTTCAATCGGAGCCACTACACCCCGCTACAACAGCTCGAGCACGTTCATCACGTCGACTCCGCATCACGCGAGTCGAAGCAACCACGTCCTGGAAGCGACCCACCACTTCGACGTTGCCCAAGACGATTATGACGAGCTCGACACGAACGACGCGGGCAGCAGGACCCTGGACACCATGACGGGCAACCACCACCTGATGCAACACTCGCCACCTTTTCCGTCCCGCCGCCGCCATCCGCATCTGTCGCTCGGTCCGTCAACGGCCACCAACGGCGGCGCAGCGCCTGCCAACAACCCGACTGCGAATGGCAAGTACCTGGCTAGCCTCGATTCGACGTTGTTGCTTCGAGTGAAAATCCTGGACTGTTCCACGATGTGCCACAGCCATAGCCCGCCGTTCTGCCATCGATCGCCGTTGGTAACGACCCCAGCCGCCCATGCCAAGGCCGCGATCGCCGCCGGCGACGTCGAACAAGGACAGATGTGGTCGATTCTGGCCGTCTCGACTGCCGCAGCGGCCGCCTCCCCCGGCCACCTCCACCACGAGAATCGGGACATGAAGGTGGACGCCAACAAGTTCGTGCCGACTCCGTGGCACGCTCACCCGTTCGGGTCATCCTTGGTGCAGCATGTTCTCGAGTTGTTCGAAGCTGCGGGGGACGTGCCCACTCTCGCTGCCATTGTGTGTGCCGTCAGCTTGCCATCCGCGGTGCCACCACCTTCCCCAACGGACCAGATCAAAAACTTGCAGTCGTCCGTCCTGTCCACGGTGCGATCCACTGGCTCGACCGGTGCGCCGCCAACCTCTGTCATCACGACGGCACTCTCTTCACAACCACAAGCAACAGAGTCGATGAAACCCACGGCGTTGACGACGCCCTCGACGGCCTCCACCCCAACAGCTCGTCGCAAACGAGCGTCGACGCTTCTGGGCAACACAGATGCGGACGTTGTCCGGTACGACGGGTATAAACTGGCTCAAGCAGACTTGCTGTACCGCCAAGGCGCGACGAATGCGCGGTGCGAACTGCTCAAGCACTTGCAGTCGCCGTCCGAGCCGCACGTCGGGCTCACGCTAGCGATGTACTGCTGCAAGTGCGGTCGGGTAAGCCCGCGATGCGCCGCCGTTCGTCGCCCTCCTCACGATCTTGCGAAATGTTGTAGCCGTGCGACGAGCTCTACTGCAACGCGTGCAAGGGGTTCAGCGTTCAATGCGCAGTGTGTGAGCTGGTTGTGCGAGGGCAGAGCATGTTCTGCTTCAAGTGTGGCCACGGCGGCCACTCTGACCATATCGTGGCGTGGTTTGCGACAGAGGTATAGCCCTTGTGTGTGGTCGATACATGCGATTGACACAAGTGTCGTAGAATGCGTGTCCGACGGGATGTGGGTGCTGGTGCAAACAAGTCGCCGACGCCGCCAAGTTTCAAATCCCCCCGACTCCTACGCACATACCCCGGCCCACATCCAACTCGTGCTAACGTATTTAACGACGATCCCGTCCATCTCGGGTGTGTCGACGCGAGCTTGACCTCTTGGTCTCCAACAAGAGGATCGACACGTGCGATGGATGCGACGCCTCCGACAGCCTCATCAACAAGTTGGCGCGTCCATATCCAAGGACATGCCGCAAGCTGTCACCTCCACGTATTGCTCGCAGGAGGAGGAAGGCGTCATGGCCATGCTCGTGCCGCCATGGCAGCTTCTCATGTTGTTTACGTACAGTGTGCCGTAGAGTAGCGTCCCCGACCTGAATATCCGGATACTGCTGAGAGTGTACGTACAGTTTACCGTGCAGTAGCGCAGGATTTCCGGATATCGATATCCGGACACCTTTTTGTGTTGTCAAGTTCCCGCCCAACCGAGTATAGTGAAATCAAGTGCTTGGCACAGCGGAGCGGCATTTATCGTTTGAGATTATGGACGCGGACGATGAACGGACCAGCGAGGCAGTCGCCGCCACAACCGTGGAGATGACGGCGACGAGCGCTCGTGAAGAACCATTCGTCAAGGAGGACGAAGCCGCTGATGTCGAGGAACCTCCTGCCGCGTCCGACGACGACACTGTTGGCAACAAGTCGACCAACGACGAGATCGCAAGTGCTGCCGACGACCAAGAACACCAAGAAGGGACGAAGCCCAAGAAGAAGGCATCGAACCGACGAGCCGAGATTCCCGGAGAGCGACGAAGCGACCGTGCACGTCAAGCTCCTCGTGCGGTGTACACGGCTGCTGAAGAGACAGTGGTCGACGACGTGTTTGTCGTTCCGGAGGGACCTGGAACCAAGCTCCGTGACATTGACTACCTTGCTGAAAAGGTGCCCTTCTTCCATCGTGCATACGTCTGACACTGACGCTGCACAGGTGTCGAAATGCGGCAAACGCGACGTCGAGGTGCTCAAGATTCTGTACTCTGTCATGTTCAGCCGTCGGTTCTCCCTCGGCATCGTAAGGTCATGTCTCTCGATTCGGTCACTCCAACGCGTACGTATCTAGATGAAGGAAGCGAAGCAGCACATCTTGGACTATTCCGGGTACGCTCCCATGGACGACGAAGCGGTACGCGTTCGCACGAGATGCCCATCGATAAATCGTTTTTGCGATGGCAGGAGAAAGAAAAGTTGCGGGACGAGTTGGCCATCAAATTATGTCGCGGCACCGTCGGGTTTGTCGACGTGTTGATGGACTTTCTCCAGGTACACTGCCCGTCCATGGCATGCTCGCACGTGATGATGGTGCGAAGATCGACAGGTCCAAAAAGTCTTTTGTCGACGCTGGCTCCCAAGGCAGCAAGGACGATAAGGTGGAACGCATCATCGACTGGCTCTTCCACCCCACCGCCACCGAAGTGGTGAGCTCCCGGCGTCATCCACCTCGTCGAGCTTCCTCACGCCATCGTGTCTGCAGAAAGCGAAATCCGCCAAGAAATCGACCAAGAAAACCAAGAGAGCGGGCAAGGTACTGGACTGTTCTCGATCACGTTGTCCTTTCGACCCCACGGCGCATGACGTCTATTGACCTTGAATGGAGCTCGAGGTGTCCCATGGAGAGTGCTTGCCATGGGCTTCCAAGTGCTCCTTCGAAGCCTCGAGCACGTTTGAATCGGACGTCACCCCATGGTGCTCCGCTGTGTTTTGTCTGTGAGGATGCGTTCGTGTGTGGTTGAGATAAACTGGAGTCGTGGGGCTGGTTGTCCGAGTATGGCGATGCATGTGCTCACTCTTGTGCCTAGAAATCGTCCAAGAAGGAGAAGAAAGCACCTGTGGAATCGGAAACCACGACGGATGACGAAGGCGACGACGCTTCTCCAAAGCCCAAGGCGTCGGCAACCTCGAAGAAGCGTAAAGCGGTATGGCTATCGAATCGAGATCGTGTGGAGACTTTGGCTTAGACGAAAGGTGACGATGGCGCACCGACGAAAAAACGCACGACCAAGAAGAAGGTGGCGGCGGCGAAGAAAGCAGTGACCGACGAAGCCGAGACCGAGAGTGAGAACGAAGACTTGTTTGAAGAAGCCGCGCGAAAAGCAGAGGCACGTTGGACGGACCCGTCACCCAGGAAGCAATCGGTGGCCAAGAAGAAAGCTGCGACAACCACCCCGGCGGCGGCGGCGCTGCCAGAAAACATTCAAACTCGGTTGAAGCAGATTGTAACGGAGGGTGACGTCGAGACGCTGACGTTGAAAACGGTGCGATGACACGACGTGCCATGGACCGTGACGCCCTCGGGATGCCGTAGGTCATGGACACACTCACTACCGAGCTGAACGCGGACGTGAAAACGCACAAGAACGCCATCAAAGACTTTATTGCCAACTGCTTGTAATGTCGATCCCATCTTGCCGTTGTAGCACTTTGGTTCAACGTATTCGAGGATGCAGCTCACGTGGCAGGCAGTTGTCACGGTCGACATTCCGCGGCGCCGTCGCCTACATGGGCATTGTGCCGTCCGATGCGGCGAACGAGCTATGAATATCGACCGCCTTGCACCCGCATATCGTCGTTGCTACGACGCAATGACCTATGCAGATGATGCTCTCGGTGGTGCTGTCCCCAGTGGGGAAGCGCTGTCCCCATGGGAGAGCCAGAGATACAGAAAGACGCCATCGTTTTCATCTGGCCGCCACAACGTCATCCAAACGTACCATCGTGATGTGGTGGCATACCCAACCGATTGCAACACACTCTGCGCAAAAAGACGAATGCATTATGCAGATAAGAGCCCGACGGCTACGAGCACGGGGACGAAGGTACACCCAAGCCCCCATGTTCGCCTTGTCAAGGTAGGACGCAACCCCACGCATCCGTCGCCTGAATCTTTTGGCAAACCGACGCAGTTCGTGCAATGCACTGCCCGAGTGTGACGTTGTACGATGGCAGAGTGGGGAGGCACTGGGCAACTGCAACGGCTCCAGCCTGCGGGCACAGGACGCCATGGGGGGAGTCGCCGCGGCCGCTGCAGATGGGACCACGGATGCAGTACGTGGCGTCGCGCTCAATGCTCACACGATCGCAAAAGACGATGTCGTCGGGGGACGCCGCGACCCCCGCGAAGTTTGATTCGTTGGTGCCGTTGCCAGTGGAATTGCGCACCACGTACAGCGGCTCATGGGACGAATGATTCGTTGGCGGCGACAAAGTGGTTGGCGCGGGAGATGTCGTGAGCGGTGCATTTTTGGTCGTGGGGGTGCTGGTTGTCATGCTAGGTGTGCTCGTGGCGATTGGAGCTGTAGTCATCGTTGGCGATGTGGTTGCCGTGGTGGGAACCGCCGCCGAAGTCGTGGGACGAGGTGAGACAGCCGTTGGCACGGCGGTTGTCGGGGGAATTGTTTGGGGAAGCGTGGTTGTGGTGGGGACTAAGCTTGTGAATGGACTCGCAGTTGTCGCGGTGGGACTGGTCGTGGTGGTGGCAATGGGGCGAAAGGTAGTGGTGAAAACGGGGCGAAATGGGCTGGTAGCTGGCACCCGCGTCGTCGGGCGGCCGTCGGTGGGTGCATCGTCGAGCTGCAATTCGGAAAAGGGAAAGTCATCTTGCCCAGATGCCACGGCCATGATCGCTGCAATGAGAACCACCTGAAGGAACATAACGCTTCGAGTAACCATGTTGTTGAACGATGGTGGGGGGCAGGACACTTGCGCTGTTGCGGGGGTGTTGGAGAATGACTCGTTCAACACGCGCTCTGCGCAAGGTAGACGTCATTGCCGGCCTGTCGACACTTTCGGGTGGCCTGTCCATGGATGCGTCCATGCGCCTTCGTCAGTCCTGTCGATGGATGCTTGATGCGATCGCTCGAAGCGCGCTCATGCTTCTTGCCACAGCTTGCATGGGTCTGGCTCTGCCACGAGGTGACCTGCTGCGCAGCTCCAATCTCACGTGCTCAAATGTCCTCTGGAAAAAGTCCGGTTGATGTTTGAAAAATCCGGATACAAGCCAAGTTGAATTCAAATTTCATCTTTTGGACTCGAGCACCCGCGCGCGATGGAGGAAGGTGACTGCACGATCTGCTTGGAGCCGCTGCTGAAAGAGCTGTATGCGCTACCTTGTGGCCATGTTTTTCATGGCCGATGCATTGTGGCCGCGCTCAGGTCGAAGAAACAATGTCCTCAATGCCGCAGGCAGATCTCCTCTCAAGAGCCGATTCGGCTGTTTTTCAAGGTGCCCACCAACGTCGCCAACGACTCCTCCCCATCCAAATCACCTTCGTCCCCTTCAAGCCGTCGACTAGATGACGTTGTGGCGAACTTCGAAACCAAGCTGTCGTTACTTCGGTCGCAACTCCAAGCAATGCACGCCGAGCAAGAAGCCTCCAAGCACGAGCTCGACAAGTGGGAAGTTTATGGTGAGCAGTCTCAAGCCGCATTCAAGAAGATAGAAGCAAAGGTGTCCACACTCCGCCGGGCCAACGAAACCCTGACAAAGAGCCTGCATGATGCAAAGCAGTCCAATGCAGCGCTAGAAGCGTCGTTGCAGCGAGCAATGGCCGACACGGCGACACTGCAGTTCCTCAACTCGAACGACTTGGAAGCGCTCGAGGCGGATCTGGCGAACCCGGCCATGATAATTGCCGCCCTCAAGAAAGCCAATCGATTCCGCATGGTTCAGTACGAGAAAGTTGTCCAGAAGTTGAATGCAGCCAAGGACGAAGTCAACAAGTTGAAGGCAGCGAGCACGGAAATGCGCTCGCACGGTGACGTATCGTCGCCAAGGCGGAAAATTGCCGTAAAGCGCCCATTGGCGAAACCAGCAACCATGCCTGCATTCAACCTCCACCAGTCCGCGATGCTCGAGACCTTTCAAGACGTTTTGCCGGCAGTGGCGTCTTCGGCTGTGCACCACGCATCTCCTCCACCTCCCCCTGCACATCGTCCACTCGTCTGGACGCACAGACACGACCTGAAACCCATGGGCATAACTCCTCCACTGTCGTTGCGACCTCATGGAGATTCCAAGACCGTCAGCGACTGTCCGAAAATGAAGAAGCCTGCCGTCGCCCCCGCCGCCAGCATTCGTCCTATCACTACATGGTTCAAATAGAGTCGTATGTCCAAGTGCCATGATAACAAACCGTCCGAACGTGTCACTGGGAGACACGTGCGCACATACGCGAGATGTCACATGTCTACATCATGGGAGGAGTCAGAGACGTCGAATGGAAGGCAATGTGGGTGGCTGGTCCGGCCGTGCAAGTGCCAGTGCGCGTCCTTTTCATGATCCTTCGCGGAGGTGTCGACGTCCACAGAGGGAACACATTGCGTTCTTTCTCGTCTTGGACATGCATAGCTGCTTGCCCGATCAAGCAACCTGCATGCGTGGACTCCGCCGCCGAGAACGTTGGATGTCTCTGCGAAGTCGGTTTTTCTACTTCAACGCACTATGCGTTTAATAGGTTATAACGAATTCTGCGTGGAAGTTTTGGTCGGGGAGGTTCCAGTTTACCTGATGGGTTGTTGAACACAAAGACGTTTAAACGCATTCGAGAGGTGCACCCGAATAAAATTGAAATTTTGTCATTCGAAGGTTTGACGCAGAAGGGACAACGCACCATGGAGATGGCCGCCGCAGCGGCTGCGTCCCCGGCGACAACGGCGACCCCCATGCACGATAGAACGAGTAGAAACACACGGGTATCGACCACAACGGCGTCGTCGACAGCAACATCGCCCGCGCACGCCGATCGAGGGGCAACAGAACAAGAATCGTCTCAACGCTCGACTTTAGCACAGCAAGCCGACCGAATCAAGAACATGCTGCGCGGGATTCCAACAACGAAGAATGGTCCACCAGATGCGGCGCGACTGGCGCAGAAGATGCAGCACTACTCGACGATGCGTGTGCACATGAAGCGGGTGCAGTTCGCGTTGGAAGAAGAAAAACGTAATTCATTCTACAAGGAACTGCTCGTGTACCTGCTCTTCTTGGCGATCATGATGACGACGGTGTGCACGCTGCCGATTCAAGTCCCGTTCGAGCACAACGACGCCCTTGCCCAAGCGTACTTGGACCAAGAGTTCAACAACGTGAGCTTCAAGAAGAACTTTTACGAAGTCGACGGTCTCGACGAAATGTGGCAGTGGTTCAACGACGTCCTCCTCGACACGTACTACCACCCGACGGAACTGAACGTCCGCCGCATCTCGAGCGTCCAGATCCGATCTGGTCGGATGCAAGGCCTCCCGTGCGAACTTGTCGACACCGACACGACGTTGTCGCTCTTCCCCGACGAACTGTGTTACCCCGCATTCTCATTGCAAGAAGAAGACACGTCCCCCTACTTTGCCCATGTCCCAGACCAACCCAAACTCATCACGTACGAGAAAGACCTGTCACTGCTCGTGCGATCGCTACTCTTCACGCCCAGCATCATCAATGCGCGCATGAACTATGGCACTGGTACGCCTTCCTACCCCCATGATTGTCTTCTCTCTGTGTGGCGTGCTTTCGTGTCGAGCGAATGGATCGTGCATGCGGTTCCTGACGCCGTTGACGGCAAGGTGGATATACTGCGTACCTACCTCGGGACAACGCGGCCGCCGGTACGGCAGTGCTGGAAGCGGTGCAAGATGCGCTCGTGCTGCCCAGCACACGATACGTGGCTGCGACCTGGGCGTTGTACAACCCGAGCTCGGCGGTGTTTACGCACATCCAAGTCATGTTTGAGATATCGTCAACCGACCACATCGAGCTCACGCAGCGCCTCATGAGCTTCCGCGTGCTCGGGTACCGCAACGTGATGGCATTTCTGTCGCTCGAGAATATCCTGATGCTGTTTCTGGCCGTCGTGACCGTCATGTTCACCGTGCGCGAAGTCCAATCGTGCTCTGTGATGGGCCTCCACAAGTACACGGAATCGATGTGGAATGCCGTCGACATGCTCCAGCTCGGGTGTCTCTATGCTCTCGTCTTCACCTGGTTCCGATACCTCTATCTGTGCCACGACATAATCCCGACCCTTGAACGCATCGTTCGCCATCGCACGTGCAGCACCATTGACAGGTACAGCCACGACGACTCTAGCTTGAGCCTGGCGACACTTGTGCCTGACAGGATATACCGCTTCGTCTGCGACTTGTGGCGATTCGAACAACTTGCCTGTCTCTTCCTGGCTTTCTCACTTTAAGTGGGGCATTTGCGAGTCGTGATCTTGCTGCGGATGGCCATCGCCGTCTGCAGCGTTGCGATGTGTATGTTGTGCGAGTGTATGCTTCTGTGGGCATGGATGTCTTTGCTTGACACGGTTCTCGGCCGCAACATGGCTTGCTTGATGGGTTCCGCGATCTAAATGTGGTTGTGACTAGCGGCCGCGATTGCTTTGTCGATATGGGCCACATCGGACTCGTCGTCCAAGACGTGACCAACATGTCCGCGTGCGTTGCGCTTGTGAGCGTCGCGATCGTGTTCAAGTACCTTCGATTGAACACGCGGTTGAACATGCTCTGGACGACGCTGCGACTCGCGGCCAAGGACCTGATTGCGTTTGTCGTGATCTTTGTCTTTATCTTTTTTGGGTACGCTGTCATGGGGTTCCTGCTCTTTGGGACGCACGTGCGCGAGTACCGGAGCTTGACGGGGAGTTTAGCGTCGTGCTTTCAAATGCTCCTGGGTGCGTTCGACTTTACCACGTTGTCCGAGGCCAACCCGGTCATGTCGGGGCTCTTTTTCTTTTCGTTCATGATTTTTGTGTTTTTGATCGTGGTCAACATGTTCATTGCGATTCTGAGCGAGTACTACTCAATCGCGCAAGACGAGAAGCGGTCTGCGGAAGCGGCACGGAAGGATCTGCTCCATGCCAACAAGGCGGGCGGCGACACGGGTGACATTGTGTCCCGCCAAAAGTTCGACCGCATTGAGTACGACGTCGTGAACCAGCTCACCAAGTACTGGACCGACCTCACGTGGCGCGTGCGTCTGACGAGTAAGGAGCCCGTCCCGCTCACCGGTGGCGCGTGCGTCCTGCTCGTCGACTACTCTTACCTGCAAGCGGAGCGGTCTCGACTCGCCAACAAGTTCCGCGCCGCCATTCGTGTCATCCGCATCTGCCTCGCGTTCATCCGGCCACTGCGGAAATTCTTCGAAGACTTTGACGCGTCCCATGTTGCGTCGTCGCTCTTTCCCAAAGGAAAAACAAGGAGTACGCTGCGCAGCAAGTCGTCCCACCACTTGGACTACCGCAAGTTTCCAGTCGTGTATGTGCCGCTCTACTCCAAAGCGGCGAACCCGCTCACCATGATCGACCAACTCAAGCCCGGCGATCATCTTGAACTCGACGACGGGTCCCTCACATTCGACCGCATCTACCTCCAAGTGATGGGCGACCAAGACTTGTATTTAGCCGACGGCGTCGCAGACCCGTCCACGTTACGCACCGAGTTTGGCTTGCACCATGCCCATCCAGCCGTCGGCGGCAGCGGCAGTCATATCAAGTGCTGCCGTGTTGTGTACCAGGGCGAGATCATTCTGGCCGGCCATGAAACGTGCGTCGTGCCAAAGCGGATTTGGGTCAAATATTTTGCGTCGACGGTGTGGCGCAGTATTCGCCAGGTCTTTTCCGTATCGTACTGGCTGACGCAACCAAAGAAGGGACGGAATTTTGTCATTTCTGACGACGACATTGCTCAGTTGCTCGAAGCCCAACTCAGCAACGACCAAGGACGAGGCCACAGCTGCCGGTTTGACGAGCTCGTGCGGCAGTTTCGACTGTTTTTGGCAAAGAAAGCCCGCCAAGGGACAATCCGAGTGCCTCACCACGACCTCGAAACATGCGTCAAGCGCGAAGCGATTGCGTTCGTCGAGCGGTTTGACAAGGCGCTTCTTCCACTGGACGCCCGCGAACTCAACGGGTACAAGTACACCCCCGCTCCCACCGACACGTCGACGATTCGACTGCCCAACTCGATCGCGCGACTGTCCGAGTTTCTCGCGCACAATGCGCATGAAGTGTGGTCCCAGGGGCGCATTGCCCAAGGCTGGCGGTACGGTCCCCAACGAGACAATGAGCTCAAACTGCACCCTGATCTGGTACGTGATTTCTCTGGTCATGGAGGCCGTGACATTTGTATGGAGTGTGCCTTGGTGCTTCATGGACTGGTTGCACTGCGATCGATGTCCCATCGTTTGCTAACGTGGCGTTCGCCATGCGTTAGGTCGCGTACGATCAATTGTCCGAGGGAGCGAAAGCTTACGACCGAGATACCTCTATCGAAGCGCTCAAGGTGATTCAAGCACTTGGTTACGTCATGCACCCAAACCACCACTCGAGCAGCGGCAGTGGCGGCGGTGGCCTGCCATCGTCTTCGAGCATGGAGCAGTCGACGCGTCGGATGTTTAGCAGCCAGTCGTCGTCCTTTATGGATATTGATGTGGACTTTGGGGTTGCCGTTGCAGACGGCGAGACGTACAAACCCCAACCCATCATGACGGACGATATCACGCTGTCGCCAGAGCTGAATTCGCTCGTCGAACTGCTCGCGGAAAACACGCACGACGTGTGGGCGAAGAAGCGGATGGAGGAAGGGTGGGTATACGGCCCCAAGCGCAACGACATGAAGAAGGAGCACGACGGCCTCGTTCCGTACGTGTACTTGACGTCGGATGAAAAAGACATGGACCGGAACACGGCGGTCCAAACGATCAAGTGCATCCTCCGGTGTGGGTTTACCATCACCCACGGCAAGCACCCCGGCAACGGCACAGCCAAGTTCAAGTACATGTGGATGTCGATCGATGGCAGCTCATATTTGCGTGTAGACTGTTTGGGCGGTCGGAAGATGTTCAGATGCCGCACATGGAAGATGCCACGACGGTCGCGATGAACATTCAACGGGCCAAGCAGGCCTTCATGGGCCGAAGAGGGCACAAAACGTACGGCTCCGTCACGTTTGCCGACAAGTCTGGTGTCCCGACGCCTCCATTGACCCCCCACATCATTCGAGCGTCGTCGGTGGAATTGCCTCCGACGACTGCAACGACACCTCTGACAACATCGCCGAGTCGGCTGCGCAGTGCGGTGCGTCGGGCACCGTCGCTGCCACCAACGTTGTCCCCTGCCAGTGTCTCCTTTGCCCCATCGCCACCGTCGAGCCATGCCGGAGAAAGTCATCCGCCCCCATCGCTGTCGTCGAGCAACGTCGGCGAACGCAATTCGACACCTTCCGCGACAGCCCCCGACGACGTGCTCATTGAAATTGAACCATAGGTCCAAGGTAGGTCGAGGTTGTGTTAAATGCAGATGTAAATCGAGGCCAGGAGCAACGGGTTCTTCTTGGCGGCTTCCAAGTATTCTTCCTTGGTGAGTTCACCGTCGCCGTTCGTGTCGATGCCTTGCAGCAACCTCATCGTCTCGAGCAGCTCATGGCCCATCGAGCCAAAGCTACACCACAACCAGGTCAACCCGACGAATCGACGGTCCGCATCACGGCAGACGACATCCTAATACCTGGAGCAAACGACGCTGCTGAGTTCCTCCCGCGTGATTTCGCCGTCGCAATCGTAGTCGAAGAATCGAAAGTAGAATCGCGAACACGCTTCGTCGTGGGTCGTGTCGACGACAAGCATCCTACGTCGCCACGATCAAGCGCCACGGCAAGTGCCACGGAGCACGCACCGCAACATGCCGGCCAAGTCTCGAATAAAGTCGCGGCAATTGGCCTTGCCTCGATTTTCTAGTGCCGACGCTTCAGGCATGCCACCGACAGCGCAGACGTACTTGGATCTGCTGGCGCTTGCTGCGGAACGTACGCCTTGAACAGGTCCTGCAGCGTGTGGCCGTCCTCGGCTTGCGGCTCGTGGAGGTACTCGAACATGATATTGTGGAACTGGGCGCTCGTGAGGGGGGCGGCCACCGCTTCGTATGGCGCCGGGTCGGCTTGGTTAGTCTTGACAAGCCATGCTCGATCATGCGCAGCCGCGTCGCGGTCAAGTCTCGTTGCGTCGTTCACGTCTTCCAAGATCGACAGCATCACGCTCCAGTCCAGTTTGAGGCGCTCCGTGATACACCGCAGACTCTGCGACCCGTGAGCACATGAAAACGATCGAGGCCGGACCTGGCGCAACTGAAAGTTCGTGTGGCGGTTGAACGTGAGCGGCTTGCTCAGCGCTTCCAGCACGAGGGGCTCGACGGACGCCGCTTGCACAAACTCGTCTTCCGTAATCTACGTCCAGCGCGGGTGGGTCGCCACAAACGAGCCAACACTACGCACCACGGCGTCGCCGTTCGTGTCGACGTGTGCAAAGTAGTCGTCGATGTAAATGGCCTACAGAAAGAAGAGCATCACGTGCACGACGCGTGCGGAGGCACCGACCAGTTGGGACATCTTTTCTTGGCCGCCATTGAGGATGAGCACCAATTCCGAGATCGAGATCGTGCCTAGCCCGTGCGTCAGGATCGGTGCTCGAACGCAGTCGGCGTACCGCTTCCGTCCTTGTCGTACATCTTGAAGAGCGCGTCCAGCTTTTGCTCGAGCGTTCCTTGCACGAGGCTGTTCATGCCGAGGATAAACTCTGCGGCGAGTTGAGTCGTCGTGGGATGAGCGCGCGAAACGCACCTCGGAAATCGATGGCGCCGTTGAGATCCTGGTCAAAGACGCCGTAGAGGCGCTTGACGAGTGCATTCGACATGGAGATCGTCTCGCCGATCGACGACACGCCGTTGCCGTGAATCGTCGCTTCGTCGATGGCCGACGTGTGGCTCACGCTCCCGACGAGCTTTCCGAGATGGCTCCTACGCACCGCCGTTGAATCATGGCGCGCCAACCAAATGGCTGACGTGCCCGATGATCGTGGCAAAGTCATCGCACGAAATCGTGCCGTTCTCCCGCGCGAGCTCTTTGAACTGGCAGCTCATCTGAAAGATGTCGTGCATGTTGAACTTGGTCGACCGCATGAGCTCCGAGATCAGCGCTTGCTTCCCCACCACCTACGTTCGAGTCGGCGATCTCGGTGGAACAGATCGACCGTGCCTTTTTTCGCGTCTCGGCTTCGGTGGCCGTCGCAATCATCGCTTGCCGCCGCTTCCGCGTCACGACACTCTGACTACGCCCGTCTTTCTTGACAGTCGCCTGAAGCCCAAGCCTCGTGTTGGCCATCTCGATGCTGTGCTTTCGGAGAAATCCCTTGATCCTGGACACACCTTGGCATCATGCAACTAGTGATCATGGATGAAAAAGACAGACGTGGGAAGGTCCGCAGCTGGAACGGTGCGCTGCTTCCCCGCCACCAACACATACGCTGCACTTGCACGTTTGCCACCGCCAGGTCGAGGCACGTCGTCGCGTGCCTGTGCATTCCCACGATCAATCCTTCATTCAATGCCGCGGTGAGATAGAGACGCTCACATGCCCGTAGGTTGTTGCCGTTTGTTGGGTCACACAATGCGGAGACGGGGTACTTCTCTGGAAGGAACGTTGCACGAGACTGAACGAGCGACGCGATCTCTTGGTCTGACGGCAGTGTGACCGCGCGCACGGAAACATTTGAGTGTGCGTTGAGATGCTGCAAGTGCTTGGACACATCCGTGTACAGCTCGGCAATCGCCGCTGCCGTGTACCGATGCGGCGGCGCGTTCTGCATGATGTGAAACTGTCAACAATCAATTAGTATCGAAGTTTCCGACACATGGGTTTTTCACACAATAAATATTTTCTCACACAATGCAATATTTGCTGATTTGTGCAATCTTTACAAAAATACCTGCCACACCTGAATAGGATTCGACAAACAAGATAATATTGCATGCATGGATTCACGAAAGACGTGCGAACTAACGTCGACGCACCCCGCAACTAGGCTAGTACGAGTGGAATGAGCAATGTCCCAAGTCATTCTTCAATACAAAAAGCAGATTGGTGAGTTGTAAGGTGTTCGGATGCGTGGAAAAGTATAATAATAAAATATATTTGGTTCGAGGAAGTGCCAACATTGATTTGTCATAAAAATATATTTCCGCCCCCTTGTGATAATGCGATGATTAGATGAGCTTCTTGGACTTAAAGAACTTCTTGAGGTAGATAACCTGCCATAGCCCCATGGCGAGCAAGACAAAGATGGAGAACGAGCTGAACCAGAGCACGCGTGCGTTTGTGGACTCGTTCGTGTCGCGCATGGCTGCTTCGCGCTCGCGCATGTACAGCATCTCTCGGTGGATCTCGTCTACGGTGTCTTCCAACTTTCGGAGTTCCTTTTCCACTGGCATGAGGTGTTCGCGCTTGGCAATCTCCGAATAGTCCTTGGCTTCGACGCCGTGCTTGAAGTCCAGCGATACGCGCACGTTGTACTCGTTCGAGTTGAAAAAGCACGTCGAAAAGCTCCCCGCGGTGCCTGCATTGAACGAGAATTTGTGCAAGTCGCCGCTAGACACGTCCACGTCCGAGTCTTCCTTGATGTACTTGCCCAATGGATCCTGAATCATGACAGATACCCCCGTTCGACCCTGGGCGTTTCCAAGCACGTCGTACTGGATGAGGACAAAGGAGTCCTGGGCAACTTCGTCGCTCAGGCACTTCTCCACACGCGTGGGGATGTCAAACTGGACGCCTTGCACAGATCCGATCAACATGCAGAGTACGAGGAGCACCGCCGCCGCCTTCATCGTCACGAGTGTCTGGTATCAATTGTAAACGTGGCGTGGGGTGGTCAACATGGCACTGCTCGGATTAAAAATGCCCCAACATCATACAAATTATAGTATCGTTAAATACATTGGCGATTAGTTCAAAAGCAATGTTTTGGCCAATACAATCTGACTATGCATTATCAACCAATGAAATGGCCGTATCAACTATGAAGAGCTTGGATTGGCTAGTAATAGAAAGGATTGCGCTATCAGCCGTCTCGTTGCCTCTTGTCTCAGGGCACTTGCGCCAGACCCAAGGTCCACGTTCCATACAAATTCCAAGTGTTTAAACCTAGCCGATCCCCAGTCAAGAAAAGCGCGTTTAACGACGTTCACCCGACCGGCACCCACAGGTTCGATCGGACCGCCCCTTGCTTTGCGACAAAATGATAGGCAGCAGCGTCGCACGTCTATCACGATGGGTGTCAGTGCGTCCAGCGAGTCTGCGCAAACAAAAGGTCTTTGTCCAAGTGCCGTCAGATGGGGACGACGATAGCAGGGGCTTTGCGACGCCCGCGGGCCCTCGACAATCCACTTTAACGCACCTCGTGGCGTCTTTAACGCCATACTGTCCTGCGTGGCCACGTCGCGCAGCCACGACAAAACCATGTGATTGGATGAGTAGAAAACCCCGCCTGGCGCGAGTAACCATGTGGAACTGGCCTGGCGATCCGCGTGGTGCGGCCGCAGAACCGCATTTCCACGATGCCTGCTGCAGCCACATCGTCCGTAATGTTCCCGGTGGGGGAAGACTTGTTCAAGACGGGGAAGCCGCTGCCGGATGAAGAGAAGCGATACCTCGTGCACATTGCGCGCACGTCGTGCAAGGAACTGATCAAACACGCCGACTTGCGCGACGACAACGTCGTGTGGACGCCGATTGGAGGCCCCCCCGACGCCAAAATCTCGTCGCTGCTCTTGTCGTCGCGAGGTGGAGGCTTCCTTGACAATTTGGTGCTGGCAGCCCGCATGTACGAAGGGCGGTCGAAGCGCGACTGGAGCAAGAAGTTTCACGGTGGAAACGTCATGATGGGCGCATGTGTCACACAGGTGGCGGCCACGATCGAGGAAGTTGCGTCGTTCTACCAACGCCCGACGACGCGTGACGCTCGCGTGTTTGCTGACGCGTACCAAGAAGAATGTTTGGACTCGCACGTCCTGTACACCCTCGTTCCTCCGTCAACAGTAGCGCCATGGCACAACACCGTCGTGCGGTGGCATGCCGTCAAGCCGCCGGTTGCTCTCGGGAAACCCCGCGACTTTTGTTTCCTTGAGGTACTGCACGCGTGAAATTTGAATTTCGACGGTTTCCATCGTTTTGGCGCTCATTTCGAAATTTGCTTCGTCATAGACACACGACGAGTTTGTCGACAGTCGCGGCCGCCGAGGTTGGGTCCTCGCAAGGGAGTCCGTCAATATCGAAGCTTGCCCGCAACTATCCACCGTCGTCCGCGCCACTATGCAGCGCTCCGGCCTTGTCTTTGTCGAGAGCGACTTGCCTGGGTTCCTCAACGTTACCCAGATGGCTGTCGTGGACCTCAAAGGCACGCTTCCGCGTGTGCTGTCTCGTCTGGCTACAAAAAAGTACCTGACGGAAGTGCTCCGGTTAAACCGATTTCTGCACGAAAAGCGACTGAGTCTCGAGCACATCCTCCCTGCACACAACCTTGTGCCCAAGCGCGACCGAACGTCATGTCACGTGTGCGTCAAGAAATTCCGAGTGTTTTCTCGACACAAGGTGCGCTGTCGAAAGTGTGGTGAAGTCGTGTGCATGCAGTGTCAGGGCGTGTGGGCAATCGACATGTCCACGGCCGCGTCATCCCACAACCGCCGGGCGTCCACTTCGTCGATTCCGTCAAGTGGTGTCAAGAAGGTGCATGTTCGTGTGTGCATTAACTGCTCCCAAGACACACGAGAGCGCTCGATGCACCACAAACCGTCCATACTCAACACTCAAATCCTCCATACGAATCCTGCAAGCGAAGACGAAATGTTTGCTTTGGACACCATGGCCCTGATTCCAACTTCTCACGCACTTCCCGACCAAGTTCTGGACGAAGATGACGATATTTCTCCCATGGATGTGCTGCAAAGTGCTCGCTCCCGGGCGTTGCATGAATACGTTCGTCGTACGTCTACGGCAAGCTTAACTTCATCCTTCCTCCCAAACCACCAAAACCCTTCCACGGCGGTTGATTCGACGCAATCGAGTCAAGCTCGTGCTCCACAAGTTGACAGCGACGACGATGAAATCGAAGATCACGTGGTGTTTCGACAAACCAAGAGCGTGCCCGACGATACCATGTCGTATGCTGAATCGTCACCGACGTCGTCGAAGGACGAGCCGCAGTTTGGCCCACGAGGATTGTCGCATTCGTTTGTGAGTGAAGCGTCATCGTTCCGGCCGAGCTTTACCATCTTCAAGAAGTCTACTTTGACGACTTCATCGCAGCAACCAGTCCTTCCGTCGTCGATGTTGCTCACATCGCCGTCTTATCGCGCTATGAACAAGGACACGTCGCCGACAACCTTTGAAGAAGAATCGTCTCAGCATCGTCAGCTTCGCAAACCCCGCCACCATTCCGTGCATGTGTCCACTGCCCCCACGTCTGAGTCAACAGCAACTTCCACGACGTCGTCTGCAACAACGTCTCGTCGAGGCAGTTTGCCGTTGTTCTCCAACCTCGCTGCGCAAGTCGACGCAGCGTTGCATTATGGTCACCACACTGCCCACGTCCCCCCTCCATCGTCGCATTCTTCGACCATGGCGCTCTTGTCAGCGACATCCCCTTCGCTTTCGTCGTCCCGATCATCTTGGCGGCATCGCTCGTCCAACTCTTTGTTCCAATCCCCGGCGAACAGACACTCCCACCAACGCAGGCCGTACACCCCGCGCAAGTCAAGCCAAACATTCCAATTCCAAGACTCCAAGCTCGTTGGCATGCGCACCAGCACTGGGACGTACACAAGCGAGGACTTGAAATCGATCGAACGTTCGTTGCTCGCGGATGCCAAAAAGTACTCGGTTGCGGTCGACACGCCCGATTCCTCGGCGCTGTCATCATCGGCGCGAGGGAGCAGCATGGTCTTGTCTGCCCGGGGCAAGGATTCTTCGTGGACCAACGTTCGATCGTCCACTCGAGTCGGTCGCGAGAACAATTCGTCGTTTCTGTCGAGCTGCAACCACACCCCCGCGACCACGACCTCGTCCAGCTTGAGCTTTTCCGACGACGACACAACGCTTCAGCTTGAAGGACTCCGAGAGAAGGTGCAACTCACCCTAAACGCAACTTCGTCGTCCACGTTGTCGTCGGCGTCTGAACCAGAGCCCGACGTGGTCGCACTGTACAAGCAAATGAAGGCGCTGCGAGTCGCCATGTAGATCCAACTCGGCCCCTCCTTGTCCACGTTTAGAAACAACGCCATGCCAGTAATAACAGAACCCCTTATCTAACAAGAACTCTTCTCCACGTCCCACATATATCTTTTCCCTCACGTAGCGTGCTCCACCAACCATACCGCCGCCGCCGCTTGGTCACATCATGTTCCCAAATGAATTTCGCGTCCATTTTCATGGCAATATTTATTGTAATATCTTGAACATCCATACCTTCGCTTGACTTGCGGTTTGTATGTGCGCAGATGGATCGCGATGGTGACCCCGTCACAATTGACGGCAGATCAAGTCGGCCGTCACCCATGGGGGAATCGTTACATCTGAAACAAAGCAAGAGCATCTCTGCGAGTCCGCTTCGTGCATCTGCAGCAACGTCCGAGCACCTTACTCGCACGATACCGTTTGCGCCGACCATTTCTGCCACCATCGACGCAAAACCATTCGTGCCGACCTGGCATGGTTTGACAACGACACTGGCAGACAAGTCGAGCCAGACGTTGCCATCCCTCGCGTTTTCGTTTCAGCACATGCAATCGATCGTGTCGCGGCGAAGGCGTTGTCGCAGTGTTGGTACAAGGCGGGCGGTCGGTGGGATGGAGCGTCGCCGTCGCCTTTCCCGGGCCATGGCGCCGTCGATTTCTACTTCGCTCACGTTAGTCCACGACACACGAAGCACTCCACACGTTGTTCATTGCACTATGGATTGGTCAACATATGCTGTTGTCTATTTTGACCACGTCGATGTCGCACGCGAGTCAGTCCGTGTTTGTAGCAAACTACCACGTACCTCCATCGAATCGGGTGACCGTCCATGCGCCTACCCCCGTCGGCGCGCGATGTCCTGCCGCTTCCGCGGGACTACTTTGAGTGCCCGGAGCTCGCTCATGACGAGGAAGAGCGCTTGATCCAAGTCGCGCGGATGAGTTGCCGGCGGCTCATCGAAACCACGTACAGTCCCAACGCCGAGTGGTCGACAGTCAGTGTCAAGAACGGCGTTCGCATCAGCAAGAATATCCAGGCGCTCCTGCGCGAAGACATGTCGAGCATCTCGGACAACCAGCACACAGCGTCGTCGGGGTACGTCAACACGGGCGAGGACGCAGGGCCGTCGTCTGCCAAGCTCATCCGCGGCACGACCACCGTGAGCGCGACGATTGAAGAGATCGCGCTCCAGTTCAAAGTCGATCGTGGCCACAACCTGATGAAGTCACGCAAGGACATCCTGGACAGCATGGTGCTGTACAATCTCGTGCGGCCGACCGGCGCCCGGCCCCGCGATTACGTCGGGATCTTTTGGGAGTGCGTCAAGTCGCCCGTTCCGTTTTCGCATCACCGAGACTTCCTCTACCTCGAAGTAGGCCTCTCTTCCAGCTGTCTCCATGTTTTCATGCGGGTGGTAGTGCCATGAGGAATTCCACACGCCCGACGGACGCCGCGGATGGAGTTACGCGATGCATTCGATCAACCTCCCGTGCTGTCCGCCGCTGGACGCGCTCAAGTTGACGCGGGCGACGTTGAGCAACTCGGGGTTTGTCTTTATCGAAACGCGCAAAGTTGGTGAGATTGAGTGCCACTATTATCTCGACTTGGACGCGAAAGGCCCGCCGCTCGTGTCCGAGGTCATGGCACGGCGCAAGATCTCAGCGCTGTCGCACTTGAACAAGGTGCTCCAGGAGCAACGCCTCGAGTCGGAGACGCTGCTCGGTGACTTGGAGCTGCCCCATCAGCTCCATTCCAAGATTGAATGCGTGCTCTGCTACAAGCGCTTCCAGTTCTTTCATCGAAAGTTCACGTGCCGAAAATGCGGCGAGGTACGGCGCACGTCGTTCGTGTTGGCCCGCCATCGTGTGTTGTCTGTTCGACGTCTTTTCGACGGGGGCGACTGCTCGTATGCTCGTCTTGGTTCAGTTCCGATCGTCGATGCGCGTCCGCGGCGACTTGCTTGTGTGGTTGATGCTGGCCTATCCATGGACGTTTGATCGGCGAGAGTTGTGGGTGTATTGCGCGAGGGCGGGTTGTTTCTATCCGCACATGTCGTTTGGGTTTTGATCTTGGCAGTGCTTTCGATGATCGCGGTGGACCTCACTTGCGATCGTAGGTCGTGTGCAAAAGCTGCCAGTCGACATGGGAGCTCGACTTGCCTGGGGTCGGCATCCGTCAAATTTGCATATGCACGTTGTGTTCGGCAAACTCGCGAGGCACGAGCAGCCATCCAGACACGTTGGGCCGCATGCGAGAAGTGTACGAGGAAGGGGAGGCGAACGTCGGAGATCATGCCGACCGGCAGTCGGAAGGGGGTGCCACCATGGTCACGGACATCTCGTGCAGCATCAGCCAGTACTTTGTCCAGCAGCAAGAAAGCAGCGAAGTCGGCTACGACTCGAGGTACCATCAGCCACATCATCTAGGGCCGCCGCCTGTCCACTCGAGGGAGAATATGGGGGGGCCGGTCCACTGCGATGACCAAGATCATGTATACGCTGACCCCAAGCCGTTCAAGAGCCATCGTCGAAATCCTTCACCGCAGCACGTTCCGGTCTCCGCGTCTGGAGTTCCGCCCATGCTCATGGATCACGGTGGCGAGTCCACTTCTCGGGGCGGAACCAACGGTCATCCTGGAGGCTCCCATGGCCATTCTGTGCCGCGGCCGGCCAAAGTGCACGTACCGCCGTCCACTTTGCCATCGCCACCGCGGCCGACGAAGTACCTGTCGGTCGACATTTCGGATCCCAACGACGACGTGATCTCGCTCGGGTCGGAGGAACGGTTTTCCTTTCATTCGAGACAGCCCAAGCGCCTACACGGTCCGTCGCAAGGACTTGCGTCGGCGCTGGGGTCTGTCCGACTTGGGGCGGTCGTCCCTGAGACTATTGACGACGGCGATGACGCCACCAACAGCTTTCATCGCAAGTCGTCGCCGCACCGACTCAGCTACGATGCGTGTGCCAATAACCTCGTGAACCCGACGACGTGGAAGCACCCGGCGTCGTCCCAATCCACCGGGGGGGTGAGAATAGACATTGGATCGAACAAACGATTTGGCTGAAGTCTTCGTACCCCTCGGTATAGACAACGAACTGCTATATATCAAAAATACCTGCGACTTCTCGTTCTTTGTCGCGCATGCTTTGGTATATTTCGCAAGACTCGATACATTTTCGCTAGAAAATATTATCTGTTTAACATATATAGAAAATATAGAATGGAATAATTCCTGTTTTATAGATCTGAATACAATATTGAAGAGAAGTCGTATTTAAAATTAAGGATAATCGAATGATTAAAATACATTTTCAAACTATTTTGAAAATCCATTTTTCGATTTAGAAATTGGAAAATATATAGAAATACAGGCATTTGTTTTTAAAAAGGATATTCTAAATAATGAAAGACGAATGATATATAACATATATTCTTCAAAAAAATAGTTATTGTAGGTTCTAAGTTAAGTTCAAATTATACAATTTTGGTTTGCAATCATTTTTACATTTATTCAATGTTTTGAATATATTGAAACTTCTTTTTCTATCTCTGATAGCATCGACCGAGTCCATGAAGTGCGTTGGACACGGTTTCACTCATTTTGCACGATGGCATGACCCACCACTGGTCGCGAACTTGTCGACTTTGTAGGCGCATGATGGTCCACGACTTGTGGAGAGCTTTCCTGAGCATCGAGTGGACGATGGTCTTGAAGCGACGTCAGGCGCGACGAAGCTTTCAGTCCAGGTGAAGGAACGCCGCTGACTGCCGCAGCCCCCGACATGAGGACTGTTGCCGTGACCACGAGCAGCGTCATCAAGTGGGGTGGCGGACCGAGGAGGAATCCATTCACAAACTGGGCAGTTATCGCGCCAACCTTTCCGACTGAATTCACCACAGACATCGCGGTCACTCGTACTGGTAACGGGAATGCATTCGTCGAGACCACCCCAAACTAATGGGACAATGTCCAATCATACAAATTCGCAATGACATGATCACATACTGCATTCCACGAGGCCGTCGTAAACGCGTTGAAGAGGCATGCTAGAACCACAATTGTGGCGCGGCTGGTGTTTTCGGCAGATGGAGGTCTTGACGAGGCGCTCTCCACATTGTCGCTTTCAAGGGGCTGCAACGAGAACAGCAGGGCTGCGGCTGCCGCTCCCACCAGCGCGACTTTGAGCAGACCTGGTGGACCCCACGAATCCACGACAAGATAACTATGGCAACAACACAATTCAAACGTAGGCGACCAAGGTGTGCGCTGCATTTCGAGTCCAGGCGCGAAAAGAGCGGCAATGACAATCGGCGCATACCTGACGAGATTCCCAGGAAGATTGGCCCCCGCATATAAGAACGCATTCGCGTATGGATTCGACAGACCGATGCTGACGAACAGCTTTGTAATCCACGTCGAAATGCCATACGATCCTAACCAACGAAGTCAGTGCACGATTTGTCAACTCAGGCAAGTTTCACATACCAAAACTCAAGGCAAATGACGTGACACAAAGGCACAACGACACCTTGCGCAACATCGGCGACACAACAAACCAATTCATGCAATGAAAGCGCACGTTGTCTCGACGGTTGTCAGCCTTTTTGTCTTGCACGGACAACATTGGTTTTGTGTACTCCCGACGGCCGTTGATGTGTGCAATGTGAGTCAATACGGACGCCGCCGCGGCAAACTTGCGCTGCGAGACCAAGAAGCGCGCACTTTCTGGGACGTAAAAGTATGTCAAGACGCCACAAAGGAGAGCTGGAACGCCGGCAAACGCGGCAAAGTGCCTCCAGTTTGTCCATGGTAGGATGCGTGAGTGCGTAACTAGGGACTTCCCCAGCATCAACCACGCCGCTGCCGCTGTCACAATCGAACCCTATTTTACACCGTCGCGTGAGGAAAGGTGTGGCTATTGAATGCTGCGAGAAGCTAGACACGGTGGGCATACCAACATCCAGAACGAGCACAAGATTGTGATGTATCGCGCCCGCGCTGACACAGGCAAGTGCTCGACGCATAAAGCAAATAAGCATGAAATGATTCCTCCGACACCTAAGAGCGATGAGCACCACCAACGAAGCGGTTGGAAGTTCACTGACCAATTCCTGCGAATGTCCGAAACAGAATCAGCCAGGGCAAACTTGGCGACAGCGCCGACATCAGCGCTGACGCAGCGTTAATGCCCAGATTTAGCAAGACGATGGGCCTGCGGCCATATGCATCCGCCATAACCCCTCCAGCCAACCCTCCGACTAGCATGCCTGCGAATACCGCTGCGGTGAGAAAGCCTACAAGGATGCGGTGATGTCCTCGGATAGGTCGAGAATACAAAATAACGTACTGGATTCCCATGGCGTAATGGTGCCATAATCGGCCAAAATGTAATTCATGGCGAGGATTTCAACAGCATCTGCGGCATTGCCCAATCCAAGAATGCTGCAAAGCTGTGATGACTTCCTGCTGTCGAATGTGTACCAGGACTTACATGACCATTCGATGGTGGAAGAAACCACACCCAATCACCTTCACCTCCTACAAGACACATGTGATGGAGCTGCTAGCGATTCAAGTGAAATTACCGTATCCACGTCCGTGGAGGTACCTCCACAATCGGCAGAGTCGCTGCAGTGGGCGTTGTCATTGTCAACTTCGACCTTCAGTAAAGATCGCTCGTCGTCTTCGCCGTGCACACTTGAGATTGCTGGTCGAGAGATATGACAACCTTCGTCTGAAAGATCTTCTAGCAATGGCATCGCAAACTGTCGAAGCGTCGTTGTGACGGCGGATCGGCTGCGAGCGCTTGCAGACGAAGATAGATTGTCGCGAATTCAGAGGAATCCCTTCGTATCCGGAATACTCCAAGAGCCGGAGCTTGTTCGGATAATGTGGAATCAGTGAAATGCTTGGAGGTGTGCGCCGCCGCGTGCCTCTGCTGCACTTTCGCTCCATGTCCCGACGTCCTTCATCCACGCATGCCGTCGCACTCGGCGACGCAGACAGCATCACGTTGATTCCAAAGGCACCGCACACGGCATCGTTGATCTTCATGCATGGCCTGGGGGACACCGCTCATGGGTGGGCAGATTCGATTCTCCACATCGCTCAGCGACTTCCTCATCTCAAGTGCGTTCTTCCCACGGGTATCTGCCACCTTGATGCATTGTCCCTTCGTTCGAGCTCACTTACTGATCCTCGAGCTTGTTTTCTTGATAGCACCAACACAACCTGTCACACTCAACATGGGCATGGCGATGCCGTCGTGGTATGACATTCGATCGCTCACGGATCGCGAGGGAGACCCATGCTCAGGGATCGATGCATCTCGCGAGCGTATCGAAAACATCATCCAAGCCGAAATCGATGGTGGAATCTCGCCTTCTCGAATCGTGCTGGGTGGTTTCAGCCAGGTAGGACAATCTTGTCGTCGGCTGGCTACACTCAATGTTGCATGCAGGGAGGAGCTATGAGTTTGTACACTGGATATCAACTGGACAAAGCTTTGGGGGGTATTCTCGTCCTCTCTGGATACCTTCCCAACCAAGAGGTACGAAATACCTTTCACCACGTGGCGCTCATTCGAACTACAAGGGATTCCATGCAAACGCAGTGACCAAGAACGTGCCGCTTCTTATGTGCCACGGAGAAGATGTAAGTGCAAGTCTTCGATAGCGTACCTGACGTGCTGTACGCAGGACATGGTGGTGCGCTTGGACTGGGCAAAACGGTCGTTGCAAGTGTTGAAGGCCGCGAACGCCGTCGAGACCGTTGACTTCAAGGTATATCCAGACATGGAGCACAGCGCTAGTCTCGAGGAGCTGGACGCCATCGAACGATGGCTCAAGAAGCGCGTGCCGCACGTTCCATCGTCCTAGAAGGCCGTGTTGCCACGGTTCCCTGTGGGAAAATTCAAAACAGAGGGAATTTCGCGCGCAATGGTCTAGAATATTTTGAATTGCATTCAAGAACGCTGTCATTGGATGCTTGTATTTTCGCATATTTGCCCGTGGCCTTTGATATCCGGACAATGTAGCAACCGGATATCGTCAACTGCGAATATCCACCATGTCAACATGGTCTTCGATTCAGCAGTGGCGCGATGAGATGGCTGCGGCGGAGTCAAGCTACGACAGGGAGCGTTCCGTGTCTCTGTTGAACCTTGATCCCAGCTTCTTCGCTTCACACTTTGACGAAGTTCTTACGCATGTGCTGGTGAATGTGGCTCCGGCGTGGTTTACGGCGACGCAAGTGCCAACTTCTGGAATTTCAAGCAACCCACTCCTTGACGCTATAGATGCTCTCTTGAGCGTCCAGACAGCGCAAACCCTTGCAGTGCATCACGCTCGTCCGATTCAGACTCTCTTTCTTACACTGACAGCATGGCAGCCTGCATGGAGCGATGTCACGTGTCTCATGTGTGGCCGCGCACTCCAAGATTTTGTTGGTCGCGGTGGTGTTTCACACCTCTTTTCTGAATTATTGCGTCAAAAGGCCAATGAAGTACGAATCCTTCGCCCAATCTGACGTTTCCCGTGCTATTCTCTTTGCTTTAGGCCTCCGCTGACATTGTGGTCACACGGATCGGGGCCATTCCAGGTGCAATCCATCGTTGGTTCCACGACCTCACGTCATTGTCGTGCTAGCGAAAATGCATAACTTGTACCGCCACGAAACACCCACGTGCTTTGTGCCTTACAATTACTACGCCAAGCTAGTCCAAGCATTCCTGACGGCCATGCGATCGCAGACAACAACTGACGACAACACCCACACAGAACCTGCTATGATCACTCGACTGTTCCTTTTGAAGCTCTCACGTCAAGCTCAATTGAATGCTTTTGTCAAAGGTACATGCCCTCACACAACACGTCGGTCCCCGCGATTGCCAGCATATCTCATGGCGCGTCGGCAGGATGGCTGGACGATCCGTCTCATCCCCAGGACTCTCATTTGGCCAAGGTATCGCAGTTCAATTGTTTCGCCCTTCAACTTTGATGGATACGAACGTCTTTGTTTGTCTGTAGATGCTTCCATCGATCTGCTTTGCATCGCTCGTGCCATCTGTGATCGCGCATCTTGATGCAGCTCAGCACACGTCGGCGATTCCGGCACCATCTTGGCTAAACCTGCTTGTCGGCCATCCAATCTGCCAACATGAATTGACCAAACTAGTGCTGCATACTCCGTTGCACGTACAAACCCACCGAATGCTCGCACACGTGTTGTACAGCACTCAATCAACGTCGACCGAGCCATCTACGCCCTTTGACACCGTTTTTCATCGCGTTGTGGTCTCATGGTCGTCGATATCCACCAACTCTGCTGAAACCAAACGATGCGTAAGCACGGCGCAGTTTCTCACCGCCGGCTTGGCTCTCTTGTCGCAGTCCACGACGACTCCGAAAGCAATTTTGGAACAACATGGATGGATCGAATACTTGTGCAAAGGCGTCCAAGTACGTTCGTGAACCACTACGTGCCTTTCAACCTTGGTTTATTGCACGACGTTGAGTGCTACACGTCTGGGCATGCGCAAGGGATTCACAAAATCGATGCTGTCCTCGTTACATCACCTTTCGTCGACGTAGGAACACATGGGCCATGCTCTCGGCCCCGTACGCCATTCCGCCATGCGTGTGGCGACGGCGTTGTCGCGCATCTTGACACCAGAATCGCCGCTTCAATTTCATGACCTGCCTCCAGACGAACATGACAGCGTTGCGCAGTTGGCCGAAGACTCCATGTCCAGGACAATGCCAACCGAAGCGCACGCCCATCCGCCCGAACAAAATGACGTCGTGGATGGTCGTCCAAGTGACAAACACACGCATGACGACGAAGATGACGAGTTCGATGCGGTCGTGCGAAGCGACAGCGAAGACGACGATAACGTCGATGAGCGTCAATCGGATGTGAGTTTGGAGCCGTACGATGACCTGAGCGACACAGACGACGACGCACAGGAGCTCAGTGCCGTCCCTGACGAAAGCAATTACGTAAGGCCACCACCTGCATCTGCACACGACGAACTGTATTCGACGACGTTATTGCGTCGCTCTGCATGGGTTGCTCACGTTTCGACGAGTAGATTGATCTAGTGCTGGCTCGACGACCTCCGCTCGTGTATCTATGGCAAGTGAAGGAAGGTTTGATAGCCGAAGACAACCGCGACGCTACCGAAGTCGCCCTTGCGTCGCTTCCACGCATCATTGCGCGGCAGCCGCACGATTTACCGCACATGGCCGTCGAGATTGCAACCGTCCTCCTTCGACTCGAGGATGCTTTCCAAACGTACGACTGCCTCGGAACCACTCGTCGTCATGGTGCTCGGGCTACTAGGCCTCATTTCGACTCCCTTCGGCGGCAATCTCTCGTTGGTCTCTGCGTGCACGTCCCGGACGTAGTCACCCCCATGCTGTGCGCGTACATCTACGACAACCAGCGCTTGTTCCAGACCAAGCTCGACATTTTGCAGGTACACAGCACTTCCATTCGTCGCAGGGGGTGTGGCGATCGAGGCAATAGGCTGTTGGCGACGCGTCCTCCGAGATCAGATCGACTCCAATGCGCGCACGCAAATCCCTCCACAACGCGGCGCAGTTTTTCTTTCCGTTGCTGAATCCACTCCACGCCAAGCTGATGCAACTCAACATCACGCGACTCCATGGTGACCAGGACAAGCCCACGTGGGGTGACAGTCATGGCAGACACGTCTTGGACGATCTCTTGATGGCGCATGTGCTCCAGACGCTGTCGAGGGTACTGGAAGCGACGGGACCCCATTACCCCGCAGTGCTCACGATGGGCAAGCGATTCCTCGAGCTGCTCTGGTCGCAGCGAAACCACGAATTGCCCAGTGTTCGCCGTCAGGTGCGACCATGACAATGGGACCTTGTGGTTGACGCGATGGGATAGATTTTTTTCGGCCTGAGCCGTGTCTTGTTAGTGCTGCCATCATTTGCATGGCAGGAAGAGGTCGACCAACTGAACTTGGGCCCGCAACTCGTGCCCTTCCTCCAACATCATACAGCGATGGACCCCGACGGAGGCTGTCGCGCGGCCGCCAAGTTGCTCCTCGCCACCGTCACCTCAACCGATCAGCGCTTCAACTAGAGCCACCAACCGTGGACCATGGCGGCATCACGTTCGATCAGAGTTGCTCAGCAACGAAAGCCTCCTTTTCCCGTAAAACAGCCGTTGCTGT